GAATTCTGGATACAGTGGAATATTGTCTGGTGTTGTCGTTGTGGAGTCTCAGTTGTAGGAATTAAGTAGTTCGTTTGGTTTACAACAAGTTTATTATAATAATTGGTACTCTTGGGGTCCTTTTCAAGACAATAAAGATACTTTGATAGGTTGACTAAGACTAATTCTAAATACTTATTTTACTTACAAAGTTAATTCTTATTAATACGGGATGGGAGTTGTGATCGGAAGTAGAATTTGCATATATTGAATTTGAAGCAATGAAATTTGAGAGTTGTTGCAATATTTCTTCAATTACGTATTTTAATTATTCATAAATTATAGTTTTATTAGTAGAAATACTAAAGATCTAAATTAAGGCCAGCACAATTATCTACAGCAATCTGTCTTCAGGAAATCAATAAGCTGATGTGGTTGCTTTAAATAATAAAAAAGACCCTATTCTATAAAGCAGCTAGATGCAAACTTTTTTTTTACTTATTTTGGTCCTTTGGACCTTTTAGCTTTATGAGTGTAAAGTGAGGACATGTATGTAGTTTACTAATTACAAGAGGTTTCTGCACCTGATGTACGTTTCTAATATTTAAAGGGTTATTATGCTTCTTGTCAACTATATTAAATTTCTAAATATAATTTTTACTAATTATGCAACATTGAATTAGTCATTCACGAAAATTATTAACATAATTTGATCCAGTTTCAAATCAGTGAATAATTAAATAAAATATATACAGATGTCGTGTCCCAGGGATGGAATTCTTGACACAGTGGAGGAATATTGTCTGGTGTTGTCGTTGTGGAGTCTCAGTTATTGGGAATTTAATGAAATTCGTTTGGTTTTACATAACTTTATTCGTTACTTGATTGATTTAAGATTCATCTGAGACTATGCTCAAAATATTAAGGTTTTACTGAGACTCTATCAGTCTTTGAATGTTTTACTGAGACTAATTCTAAATACTTATTCTACTTACAAAGTTAATTCTTGTTAATGTAGGGTGGAAGTTGTGATCGGGAGTAGGGTTTATATATATTGATGATTAAGCGTTCCCACGGGAATCGGTCTTGGTGGTTTTGTTTATTATAAGACCGGGACAAATTCCTATGCATTTGTTTATATGAAAAAGATGATTGATTACGATTGTACGTGTAATGATCATTATGTGTTTATAATAAGGACTTGAATTCGGAGTAAAGGTATAGGAGTATCGATGGGAATGTTTACGCTTGATCCCCTTTGTTTATATAACAGTGTATCGAACTGGGATCACGGTGGAGGTTCTATTATGCTGATGTTTATGTTTATATAATAATGCGACTAAGAGACGCCGAGGATGTCTCTAGTTCGTTAATACACTATATTAATAATAACAATTATTGGTGCTCTCGGGACTCTCAAGATCGGATTCGAGAAGTACCTGGAAGAGCTACCGTGTAGAGTTAGCGCCGAGCAGGTGCAAAAGATCGCACTGCTGGGAACGGCTCACATCCTACGCAAGGTCTTATCTATCGGCCAATGAACGCCCTAGTGCCCGGGTAGGGCCCCGGCAAAGAAGAGCAACTGGCACGAAAGTGCCAAGTCACAAATAAGTGAAATAACAATAATAATGGTTGGATACAACACAGTGATACCTTATTTAGCGACCATGATTCGTTCCAGAGAATTGATTTTAAGGCACTTTACAATGTGAAAATCAAAAAAACTCTCAAGAGTAATACTCGTATATCAAAACCAAGTTTGTTTATAAAGTTAAAAGTTATTAAAAATATTTGTTTGTCTTGCAAACATTCGTAGACCAATTTACTCGCAATTCAAGTTACAACTGTATTACAAAGAAATGTTTTTATATACAATAAGACCTCGTTTAGCTCTTAGAATACGTTCCTATATGACAAGGACTAAACGAAGTAAATCGGTTCGGATCAAAATGATCAAAATCTCCACAGTCAATTTTCTTATATGATATAGACGTAAACCAAATGAATTAAAAAAAGGAACGTTATTACTTACTACGTGAATAAAAAAAGAACATCGATATTATAGTGTAATCGTGTTTGAATACCTACGCTAAATGTAAACTATCTAGTTAATTATCCTTAGAAACATCAAGATTTGCAAAAAATAATATTTGTTGAATGCGCATTAGAGAGAAAGGAAAATGTTCGGGATTTTGATACTGTCGGGACTTTTATATTGTCGGGATTTTGATACTGTCAAGATTTTGATAATGTCATGATTTTGATATTGTCGGGATTTCAAATGTCGAGAATTTGAATTTCGGAATTTCCATATAGACCCCTTCTTTGTGCCGCAGTCAACACAATATAGCACCAGCGTTAAGTAAACACTTTGGCATAGGTTACGTTAAGTGTCATAGATGGGGGAAAGATAATATACATGTGGTATCATTGCTTAGTTTATTAGTGTACTTTTTACACCGGCTTGAGTAGTTAAAGGTTAAAATAGTCAATGCAATTTATTTGTCATTTACTCGTATTTTTTAATATTCAAATTATAAATATTAATATATATTTCCAAAAGCAATACATTTCATTGATAAATTCTTACATAAAAGTAGATTTAATAAAAAAATAATTTTTACTAATTCAAAATTATTGTGTACTAAATAAATTTGTGTATTATATATTTGAGTATTTCATACTGAAAAAATTACTTCTTGTATATTAATTCGTACACTAAAATCTTTATAGTTTTATGCGCGTTTAGACATAACCATTTTCAGATAACTGTTTGAAAAGTAATAGAGATAATTACCCGAATGCTTCATTTTTATTTAGACAAATTACTTGGAAGCTGATAAACAGGTCATCGTATATTTAGATTCAATTGCAATGTGCAATCTATTTTCAGCATAATATGTTTGTTTAAGCTATTCACGAAATACTGTACGAATGGTTAATTTTCGCATTGAAATAAACGCTAAAATACTATTAGTCTGTGTGCGTCAGAAGATCTACATTAATTGTGGTATATTTTCAACGTTCGACGTTCATAATTCACCATTGACTATATTTGTTTGATGGTAAACATCATCTACGATAACAACGCATGCAACACAATCGAACGGGAAGCTAATCATAAATAAATCGCGCTAATTGAATGCCGTGTATGAAATGGATTTTCGCTGTTCTATCCTGCCGTTTATGCTGATTTCCTGGAAATCACACTGCATGCACTTATAATATCAGATTATCCGTTTACGAGTAAATTCAGTAACAATACAACATTATTGATTTTTATATAGATGTTACACACATATTCACATATACATATTTTACATATGTTAAAGTGTAAACTTGTCTATTTTTTAAAAGCATTGAATTAAATAAAATATCCAAGTCCACATTTAAAACTTTGTTCCCAAATAATTGGATTTCCGAACTTTACTGAAAAACGACGAAGGTCTCAGTTCCCGAATATAATTTTGCTTTTGGTTTTTGATAATTAAAATGTCATTTCACATTTAATAATTATAATTAAAATAATCTCTAATCTCTTAAGATTTCTTTTCAACAAATTTGAAATAAAATTCAATATTTTTCATGCTCATATAAATATTATTTTAAGTAATTCAGACATTTTTGAAACAATAATTTCTTAAAATTTGTTACTTTCGTGTCAAATGTACAATTTTTTTTGTAATAATATCTATTGAGAAATATTAAAACAATTGCAAAAAGTTCTTTATTCATGAATATTTGTATGAGATGTAACCTGTTTAGTAATGTTACGTGTATATTTGGAAGTATTTATTAATGTTAGGTTATGTCAAATTAGGTTAAGTTAAATTTAGGTAAGGTTAGGTAAATAATGTTGAAAATAACCTATTCAAATGCGTTTTTCACTTTACACGGTTTTAAATTCAAAAAGTTATAATTTCGATTTACATTTATGTTATTCATGACTAATTGTAGTCGGAGAAGTCAATTTATTCAACTAGTACATAAAATATAGGTTAAGATAAGTAAATTAATTAATTAGATAATCATATTGTCGATAATTTTCTACTAATGGTATAGACATACTTTCATTGGAAAATATCTGTTGGTAGTACTGTTTTTATTTGATTTTCTTGCATAAGATTAAAGAAGGAAGTAACTTAAATCGAAGTTTTTATTTGTGATATACATTTTTGATCTCAAGTACTTACAGAATCTTGTAATAAATGAACGCAAAGTAAATGATTGTTCGTAATTATATAATTGCTGATATTTATTTAATTATTGTAATTAAATTCTTAGTTAATATCATTTACATATCAAATATTATGTAATAAACATAATAATTATATGCAGTGATATTTCCATTAAATGTCGTCAATTACTTAGCACGATTGCCCTAACCTAACTTTACAAAATATAGAAACCTGACATAATCTATCATTAGTCATTATGTAAAAATATACATCTATATACTAATTTATTGATTTGAAAGAGATTTAATTGGACTTCTAGTTTTCTTTTTCATTTACATATTTTATTGTTTTATTAAATAACTCTGTGACTTATACTCATTATAAGTAATGTAAGAAATAAGTTCCACTCAGCAATTAGAGCTCTTACTAAATTGGCACAGTAAACAGTTTTACTGCCGTCCGTTTTTATCGCGTAATTTATTTTTTTCCTACTATATACCAAAACACGAAACGAATTGATAACAAAAAAGAGTTTTAAACCTCGTGCACTGTTTGCTAAAGAACTGGTTGTAACGCACATCCCGTGTGCGTCCTTAAGACCAAAACAGGAATTTGTTTGTTTTTTTTTTGTTAAATAAAAATTCCAGCGTATTTATTTTTGGGTGCGATAAGCAATCTTTCGATAAGTTCATTGATGGCCTTACGACGAGTGAGTAGTGGTAGGTTTCAGATTTCGGAGTTACGTTATTCGCGCGTCGCAGACGAAAACTTCGCATCGTCCGCATCAATTCAATTTCTCTTCGTTAGTTTTGTATTCGAAATATCGTGTATTTTTTTTTGCAGATGATACCGTTGATGTGCGAAATCCTACGAGCCTGGACTATAACAATCTAGAAGATAATTGTGACTGCATGAATCCAATTGATTGTTACGTAATAAACGGGAGAAGTGATTGTTGAGTGAAGCAGCAACGACGACGATTCAACGATTTGTTTCGAACTGTGATAGTGAGAATGCAGCAAACTGATGGTTACTTAAAATGAGTGAGTATTTTTTTTTAGATAGGAATTACGTGATTGCGCTGACCTTGAGATTTATTGTGTTTATTTTATCGAAAGTGTATACACTTTCGTTTTGAGTATTATACACAAATAACATTTGGTAAAATGAGAATAATTAAATCGTTATGAGAATATTCAAGAGCAAAAGGTTAAGGCCCTTTATAACAGTCGATTATTTTTTATGTTATTCAATTGTCATTAGTTTATGCGCTCATTAAAATAATTAAAGATCAATTTAAAGTAAAAATAATTGTTTAAATATTTGAAAATGTAAAGTTTATTCAATTATTTGTCCTTAAAAAATGTTGATACACTTTAGTTTTGAAGAAATTTCAGTGATTACAAAAATATTTGTAATTATATTACTTAACCGATAATATAGTCAAAGGAGACTGGGTAAAAATAATGAATTATTGTTTGAAAACTTGAAGTATAGCAGTATTTATTTAATTTTCAACAATCTAATGAGAAGTAGCTTAAACTTGTATATTAGTTTTTTAATATGTAGAATTATATAACATAATCCTAAAAGTACATCTACTCTGCACTTGATGAAAATTCTGACCGAAAAAGCTTTATCGCAGCAACCATTAGAGAGAATAGAATGTCGAAGTATCCGTGATAAAATTAATGATTTACTTGTTGTGCGATCAAAAATTATAACAAGAAAATGGGAGGAGTTGATCTAATTGGTCAGTCTGTGAACAATTATTGTATTGCTATAACAAAATGTGGTGGATACTTCTTACGTATTTGCTGGACCTAACTATGAAAACGCATGGACACTGTAACAATTATTATCTGGCCAAAAGATAACTCAATTGGGGTTTACAAAATACATTGTATGAACCGAAACAGAATAAAAATAAGATAGGTAGAATTTGCTAAGCAAGGATTTTAATTCTTTGGCAGACACATTTTGTTTATTTTCTTCGATTTTCTCAATAAATATAGACTGTGATGGAGCTGATCGAGATTCAGTGCGACTCGAATTTGAGACAAAATTAATTGAAGTGTGCCTGAATTTTACAAACACTTACTAGTCAGATTTGAAAATACCCGAAAATTTGTATATGAAATTATTTCAGCAGTTATTTTCAGTTATGAGAGGAAGTAAGTCTCCTGTTAGAAATAGTATTAATGACACTCATCTTTGGTCAGTCTTGAATGTAATCACTGCGAACAAAATTTCTCCCGTAATAGGAAAGATAGTTGCAGAGAAAGGATGTAAAGTGTCAGGACGTAAACATTAAATTTTTCTTATACTTTTATATATGTTTATTATAATGTATTCGAAATAAACTTACGTTTCTATGAATATCGATTTTATTTGCGGTCCATCTAAAGTTAAACCTTGTTTGTTTTGGCCTTTGAGTTTGACACCCTTGTTGTATGGCATTATTTATTTAGATCAAATAAGACACGGTGCAATTTGATAATAGTGGAAATTTTGCTGTACAATTAAAATTTAGTTTATATTGAAAATTTCTTTAGTGAATCCGCATTGATCGAAGCCACACTATGCGAGGTATTGTCATATATTTAAGTTAACTAACAGCTAGTATAGCGTTAATATAACTATAGTTTACAAGTATACATTCGACAATGATCTTCTACGGTAATATTCTAAAGAAATATTTACTTATTTATTTGTAGATTAAATTGTTTATTATTTATAAACACGTTCGAAATCCCGACTATATCGAAATCCCGACAACCATAATCCCGCATTCGAAATCCCTACTATATCAAAATCTCGACAACGATAATCCCGACAACCGACATTCGAAATCCCGACTATATCAAAATCTCGACAACCATAATCCCGACTGTATCAGAATCTCGACAACCGAAATCCCGTCAATCAAAATCCCGGCGTTCGAAATCCCGACAACCATATTCCCGACTATATTGAAAATTTCTAAAATAACATTTTTAAATTATTCCGGAGCGTAGTCACCATGTGCTACATTTTTATTATTAATAATAACAAATTATTATTAATTTATTAGATTTCCTTGACTTTTGATTGTCGGGATATCGATTGCCACCGTGGTAACTCAACTACGTTTGATAGATAGTTTGAAATTTAATATGTAAATCAATTACTTCGTAAATTACTTGGAATGTACCTTAATAAAATAATTCATGATTATGCGATTATTTCCTCATTACTATTTGAGTTTCTATGTTCATTACAATTTAAGTAATATTTACTTAAATTTATTATTGACACATTTGTACACATCATTATTTATTATTTTCTAGGAGTATTGTTATTTGAAAGGAATAGACAAGTGTACCAATTTACATTACTATATTTAGTTATTTCTAGTTACTGAAGTAATTGCAATTAGTTCAACATTTTGCATGCAAATCTATTACAACAAATTAATTACTTGACAAGTTACTTAGTAATATTTGTGATTATTTTTTTATTTTTAAGTATTTGATGTATCTCCAAAATTGATAATTCATCAGCAGTAAGTCTTAATTCAAAAATATACAGTGGACCCTCGCTTAACGAGTTTAATCCGTACCAAAAATTTCCGGACTTTTACTCGTATAGTGAAACATATTCGAAAATACACAAGTTTTAAAAATGATGCAGCAAGTGCGTAATGCTGGACTTCTCTTCTCATCGTCACTCGTTATGCGAAACGTCGCTCGTTAAGCGAATCATTTTTCTTACAATTCATTTTGCTCGTTAAGCGAGGTTCCACTGTATAATTATTTTGATTTTAGTTTGAAAAAATATATATAGACAGGCAATTGCAGTACTGTGAAGTAGTCCGAATATATTTTCTTATACTAATGTTGGGAATAAGTGTTTACTTCAAAATACACAAATGCCGACGGATCTTTTAAATGGAAAATGCGAAGCGGTATTGGATTTCAGATACGGAAGAGGCTAGAGAGTTTTGTTTACAACTTACGCTGAATATTAAATAACACGATTACTTGGGCACACAAACAATGCTTAACTAAAATAATGTAAGTTTAAAATACGTTTATTCAATTTGTTTTTTTTTTATCTTTTTAAGGAATTTTAAAATTGGAATTAAGGTTTTAAATATATTTTGCTAAATATATAAATTGAATATTTTAAAGTTTTTTTTTTATGTTTTCCATAAAAGATATACAAATACTAATGATGCATACAAAATGAAATACTTTTATTTAGTTAATTTTTTATAAGAAAATCTATTATATAATTGATTATGATAATCTTGTTATCTGTAATCTTTAATGTTTCAACGGTATGCAGATAACGAGTAATAACGGATGTTAACATATTGTAGCAATTTTATTTGTCCCCGAAGGAAAGACGTCTCGCATATTTCATATCATCCAACACCTACCTACCTGTAGACTATGTGAAATTAAATACCGTCGGGATTACTCCTAACACACATTAATCACGTGCAGATTATAGTAGAATGACAAATTCACTTGCATTTCTAACATAATCTGTTTTATTACGATAATGAGTGATTTAACATTGAAATTGGAACGTAAAATTTGTCAATTTTAAAAACGAATTGCGAAACCATATCAGTGGTTTCTGCAGTTTCTTTTACTAATAAGTAAGAAATTTTTAAATAAGCAGAATTAGCTATTCTTAATTGTGATATTTATTTGTCTGATAAATAAACTCTGTTGTTCAGTTAAGTTACGTTTCGGTTTAGAATTTTTTTCTTTCTAATTTCTGAATTTTTTTGAAAAATTGTATTATTTTTATGTGTACTAATGAAATATCACTCTAGTTAGTTTTTTTTAGCAATCACTGGACTTGAATTGAAGCATCCAGTGTTTTTATTTATAATAAATGAAACAAAATTGTTATTCAATAATAACATTTAATAAAAACAAAGAAATTAAATAATCACAACTCGAGATAAAAAATTCTTGAAATCACCAAGTTTATCTAGTTCACGAATATGAAGTGTAGCACGTCGTTGCTTAACAGAGTATACGAGGATAATGGGAATAGATCTTTACGGATAAAGATTTTTCAACTGTTTATTGAAAAACTGATGTGTTTCATTATTTCGTATTTATTTAACAAACGTCAAAGATTTTATGGCTCCGCCGTTCAACAGTGATTCACAAGTATTTGGGGGTCACATCAATCCAGGATGTTTTTCTAAACATACCCATTCTTCGGGGAATCGCAGAATTTGGTTTTAAATGCGGACCAAAAAGTTTGAGAAACGCTGACTCGTTGACCTCGCCACCATAGTGCAATTTTACAAAAGCAAAGTTTTCAGTGACATCCGTCACTCGTGCGTTAAATGCTAGATGTCGCTAAAATTCACAATTGTTAAAATAGCGAAGTTAAAATAAGATTTTTTTTTACTAAAAATATTTATTACAACTACGGACGCCTCGGGCAACTTGGTGCACCGCGTTGTCGACCCCTGGTCTAGCCTATTTTGGTATCGACTATTGTTCTTCATAATTGATTCCTCCGCTGTTTCCATTTGAAGATCCTCGTGAAATCTCCAGACAGGTTTTACAATTACTTTATAAATCAGCAGCTTGTTTTCTTTCGAATTTGCCGAATCTTCCCATAATAGCCAGTAGAGTTTTCTGATCTTAAAATCGAATTTTTGCTTGGATGTGATCTTTCCAGGTCAATCTTCTATCTAGATGCATACCCAGATATTTAAATTTATTAGCCGCCAGTATTATATTTCGGTTGAGAGTTATCAGTGGGCAGGAGTCCGTTTTCACGGTGAAGGTGACTCTTTTCGATTCATTGACCTTCACTCTCCATTTTTTGTTGCCATTCCAGTATTAAGTTTACTTTCAGGTGAAGTGTGATATGCATGCACTTGCTGGATGTGCATCAGATGATAATATTATAGATGAAGTAGCTTTTTCTAATGGTTTACTTTACACAAAACTTAATTAATTATTTACAAATGAATTTTTGAGTATATATATTTGGTTTGATATAAATTAATGAAATATTTGTATTTTTTAACACACGTCCAAAAAAAAAATATATCTGCATTATTTGTTTCAATTATAATATAATACTAAAAGTATACGATATAATAGACAATTGTAAAGAAAATGTTAAAAGCTACAACTCCATTACATCGGTTTACAATTAACAATAATTTATTTCCATTTTTGTTCCCTAACCCTAACATGATTTAATTTCTTTAGATGTTTAGTTCCTAAATTTAAAAAAAAAATCTACAATAATTTTACCTGAAAAACAACCTTTTTCGTATATCAACTTTTCTACCGGTTTAAAACGAATAGAATATACAAAATATGGAAACAGTGAAATCTCTTTTTGTGCTGTTCATTTTTTGTGTATGAATTTAATTCCTCGATTAGTCCGGGTTATTAGTGGAACCGATACCTATATTTTAATTATATAAATGATAGATTGACAGATTTAAGTTACAAAATTTATCAGAAACTGTTTAAATATTCAATGAATATAATCCATAATTGGAGTTTAAGTCATATTTATTGAAAATAATTACAATAACTAAATTATTGGTAAAATTTTAATTCTAAATTTTACCAAAAGCAAATATCAACTGTTATAAGATTGACTTAATGTTCACAGGAATAGATTGTAAAAAAAGTATATATTTTCAAATAATGGAGAAATTATCAATATGTTTAGTTTTTAGTTAATAAATCGATTATTATATGTTAAAACTATTAGAATGTTTAAAAATATTGTTTATAAATACGTATAAATAACATGGAAGGGGGATAAGAAGGTATAAATGTTGAAATATTGAAAACATGAGCAAATATGTTCAATAAGATAAGAATTAGAATGCTCGATGTTTAAATGTGCAGAATGAATGTACACAGAAAGAACAAACATCGAGTGATAAGATTTCTTCTAAATGTACTACATTGCGAAGAGTTTATTTTTATAAATAAATAAAAAAAGAATTGAACACAGAATATCAGTTTGAATAAATAAATGTTGTAATAATAATAAAAGAACTATTTTCTGATAATAATTATTTATATAATATATTTATTGGACAGTGTTATGATAATAAACAAAACAAAATAATTCATGTAACAAGTTAATGAATAAAAAATATATTTTATAAAAAATAATTCAAATGAATAAATAAGATTATTAAATTCTGAAAAGTGTAGAATTTATCTACACATAGAAATATAAAAAATGACAAATAATTTCTTGAAAGCGGTAGAATAAACATTCGTCTTCGAACTAAAAAATTTCTTATGAAATGTGACTCATGACAGATATGTGATTCAATTGGTAAATTATTATGACCAACCGTTTCATTATCATTGATTATTTAATTATAATGTATACTTGTCAACACTCTTATCACGTGTATTTAGTTATAACTATTTTATTACCAACCATACTGCGAGAAAAAATATTTACTTTTAAACTAAAAAATTTATGCATAAGACGATACTTTTGATAATTATTGTTTTAGTATTTGTCTAAGTTAAAAATTCAAGAAAATAACTAACAAACATATATTTATAATGTCGTGTCCCATGGATGGAATTCTGGACACAGTCTCAGTTGTAGGAATAAAATAATTCAATTGGTTTTACATAACTTTATTATATTATTTGGTACTCTTGGGGTCCCTTTCCAAAACAATGTAGTTTTTAGTTTGATAAAGATAGGTTGACTAAGACTTTGAAGGTTTTACTGACACTAATTCTAAATACTTATTCTACTTACGAAGTTAATTCTTATTAATACGGAATGGGAGCTGTGATCGAGAGTAGGGTTTGTATAAATTGATGATTAAACGTTCCCACGAGAATCGGCTTTGGTGGTTTTGTTTATTATAAGACCGGAACAAATTCCTATGCATTTGTTTATATTAAAGTTTATCGAACTGGGATCACGATAGAGATTCCTTTATGCCATGCTTATGTTTATATAATAATGCGACTAAGAGACGCTTTGGATGTCTCTAGTTCGTTAATACACTATACTAATAATAACAATTACAATAATAATGGTTGGACACAACACCCGACTAAGACATTAAGAGACCACAGTGTTCAAAGACATTTCATCCCTAGATACAACAATATGAAGATAACTTATAGACTTTTTGAAAAGTTTATCTTTACTTTATTTTTTGTATAAAAAAGTCGATAAAAATGGCAACATTTTGTGTCGAAACAGTATTTGTTTGTACTTTGATGTAGTCATCGCGTATTTTTTTCCAACGAAGAAGCCTTTGCTTGCTGCATTATAATTAAATAGACAACTAATCAATAAAGAAAAGCATGAAGTTTTTATTCTATAGATACACTTTGTATGATGTTTAGATCATTTATTTCTCGTACGTCACTTTGACTTTTTATTGTATTTTTACATATTCCTAAGAAGCAAAACGTTTCAGTTCTGATTTATACACTAAAAGCATCTAGATTTCGTTATGTTGATATTGTATATCATGAAAACTATCAACAATATTTAGAACTGTTAGAACATTTTATTCTTGGACATTACACGTTTCAGTTTAATTTTGTTGACTATTTATTAATTGGATAAATGTCGTTCAATGTACATCTATTATTCACTAGCTGTGGATGCTTCACAAAGAAAAACTAAACTAATCGATACAGGGAAAGCATGTAGAATTTGTTGTTTTTGATATACTTTGTTTGATATTACATGTTATTTAATAATTGAAACTGATTTATATTTAAACGTGATTAATTTCTCAGACGTTTCTTTGCCTCATTATATTTGTATAATTTCAAGAAGGTTATGAAATATTTTTGTTGACAAATTTTTAAACACAGAGGTGGGCCAACTTGTAGTGGTTGTTTTAAAATATTTATAATTTCTGAGTTTTTATTTATTTTCTAATTTATTTTTGTTGTAGATTATAAAGAATTTTAAAAAATGGCTACATACTCAGGGCAAATTATAGAATTTTGTTATATTTCCAGACGATTTATTGTTAGAAAGCACAAAAATTGTTAACACGGGATTAGGAGAACACACAACAAACAATAAACCAGCCTAAATAAAATATTCGTAAATAAATAACAAATTTGGAGCCAGAAATGTATTAGAAAGAGTCATTACGTATCAACATGAAAATTGAGATCATTTAAATGATATTATTTTCCACACTTGAATAAAAAATATTCTCATAAACTATACTTTCATCTTAAAAAAGAAAATATAAAGTGGAATATATACAGTGGAACATCGCTTAACGAGCATAATCCGTTCAACGGATTTTTACTCGTAAAGTGAAACAATTTTCTCCATATAAACTAATGTAATATACGATAATGCGTTTCATTTTGGAGTCATTTTTCTTGCTCGTTAAGCGACTGTATATTAAATTTAAGTGAATAAGCAAACAATTTCTTTAATATTTGTTTATGTATATTTTTTTCAGCATCAACACAATGAAGATTGATTGGAATAGTGTTGGATTTATCTTAAAGGAAGATCATTAGAGAAGAAACGATTTCAATATGCCTGGAATAGTGGTTTTCAGGCGACGCTGGAGCGTCGGATCCGATGACCTCGTCGTTCCGGGACTCTTCCTCTTCATTATGCATTTAATTTGGTAAGTCCTGACATAATAACTTTATTACAATAGTATTTGTGTTATGTTGTAACATAACAAATTTCACTTTAAACTTCTTTTTCTTTTGTATATTTTATGAAGTTTTTACATTACTATTTTAGTATTGAAAAATTACAATTGGAACATCAACAAATTACATTACGTCTGTTAAAAACCCAAATCTATGTATATTTTTATTACAATTTTACATTTCTTTTATTGTAATAGAAAATGTATAATTACAATCTGAAAAAATGCGTTTTCTGTCAGAAAACTACGAAAAACTATGAAAATTCTACAGTACTTTTAATGAAACTGAGAAGTAACAAATAGAAAACAAATTACATTTCATTAGTTAAAAAATATATCTATGTATATTTTTATGAAACTTTTATAAAAAAGAAACGCATTAGAGTCAATTTGGGTTAATTGTGTTTATTTTTATTATTTTATTTTAGTCCATAAATTGGATAAATAAATACAGAAAACTAAGAATATTTTTATATTCTTATGACAATTTTACATTTATTTGAGTGGCACTTAAAAGTAACAATTGAACATAAACAAATATGTTACGACAGTAAGAAAACTGACTTTCTATTTGAACATTTGGAACATTTCGAATATAAACTAAATTTTGTATTATATGTATTATCATATTTCTATAAAAAAAAATACATTCAATTCAATGGTTTTAAAAAGTATCAAGAACTACGACAATTATATTTTTGAACGAATTTAATTTTATCTTCTGCTTTTCGCTTCCCGTTATAATAATATTATTTACATTAAAGTTTTTTTTGTTTGTAATTTTCTCCTTTTATTTTTATGTTCTAATAACCAGATGCTGCAATATTTACTGCACACACATTATAAACAGTTTAATATTTATATTAGTTTGCTGGAATTAAATTGCGCGTGTATTTTTAGAGCGGTTTGTTTCTGCGATATTTCAACCGTATATATCAACAAAATTCAGTTCTCAAAACAGCAAAGAATTACCGACTAGGGAAATCATCAGCAGCTTTCCATGAACAACCTTAAATACAAACTATAACAACAAAAATGTGGAAATTGTTTGCGTTCTTCTGTAGATGTAATTACTTTTTATCTCTTTTTTTTTGTAAACAATTGTCCAGTTGAATGTTTACATGTTTCCCGAAATACATTCATTCTTGCTGGAAGAAAATGTGTGTGTTTGTGTGCGTGTTTACAATTCAACGCCAAATAAATTGCTGCTGCTGCTAACATTGCTTCGTTTAATTTCGGATGAAATTTATTTACTTGCGTCACAAATACATATTGGCTATTTCAAGTGGTTTTCTATCGAATGAAATTGAAATAAACCAGCTACATTTTATGTATGTTGTTAAAGGTTTCCTTTACATTAAAGTGTCTTTTGAAAGAACATTCACTACACTAAACAATTAAAATATTATGAGTTTCAACTATTTATGTAATGTACAAGTTTTTCTTAGTTAAACTATCAAATTTGCTGCTTCTATTTTATATGTTTAAGTTGCTTATATCTTTTAAAACAATGATCATTTAGACCAAATTAGAACAAATTATTCCACTGCATGATCTATAATAAAATATTACTTTACGTCGTCAATATAATTGATATTATAACTTAACATAATATCAATTTATAATTAAAGTTTTTATAGGGTGTCCCAAAATTAACGCAAGATTTGAATTAAATAGAAATGGAATAACACATCGGGCAAATGGACTCCACAGCTTTGTTTAAAACTAGGGAACATTTAATATTCTACTCTTTTACTAAATCTAACAAGTCGTAATCCCGACTGCAAGAACGATTATTACCATGTAAAAACATTGTTTAAATTAACATTTTCTTGAGCATTACATAATAAAGATGTTGAAAATATATTTATTTAAGAAGTAGCTTATGTTATTATTTATATTCTACTAAATTTAACATACCAATATGACAATATCAATATATGGTAAATGTGATCTACTTAAGATTTACATAATTAGGATTACAAAAGTATAATTATAATAAAGTACAGTAAGACCTCGTTTAGCGTTTCTGAAGACAGCGCTAAACGAAACTGCGTTATTTGTGTACATTTTAACATCTAGCAAATAGGGATAATTGCATTATAATATATGTTTTATACAACACAAAAATTAGCACACTTTTCGCGTTCTTGAGTTCCTTGTTCTGTCAGTTCTTTAATGTCATCGTTGGTAAGGCCCTCACCAGAAACTTGCAGTAACTCCTTAATCTTGCTCATCTGCGTCTCAAACTATCATAGATTCTGAGGAAGCAGAAAACCGCGTTATACCAAATAAGCGTGTATCGAGGCAGCACTTTACTGTACCTTAAAACTATTAGTAATTTATTAGTACTGTTTGATTAAATTTAACAAATAAAGATTACTATTACATCAATGATAACATTTCTCTTGAGCATTAAGTAATATGAATTAGAAAAAATTAGTTATTAAAAGTTATTAACAAAAGTAATCTTAACAGTAATTTATCGTTTTATTATATATATTAAAAAATATAATTATTATGAATGTCCTAAAATATTTAATAATAATAGGAAGTTGATACTACTCCTCATTTTATACTGTAATCAGTTCGAATTTATTTGCTATTTATACAATTTAATTTGTCATCACATTAATTTTGTTGCTTGTTTGTCATTTCGTTGTGATACATCAATAAGTTATGTGAAGTGGCAATATTTTTTCAGTTATTATTTTCTATTCCTGATTAAAATAGAAATATTAGAAAATAATAGAAAGATGAGGCCAATGTTTCAATTTTTTTAATTGTATTATGAATTATTGGGCTATTTACACAAATATAGGTGGCTCCAATGGACGAAGCACCACTGGTTATGATTATCAACTATAGTTGTAAGTGCATGAAATATAATGAAGTCCACATTTTGAAGTTAAATGTAGCGTTTAATATCATGCAAAGTTGAGAGAGAGAGATGCAGAGGACGCAAATCGTCCGAAAGGCGTTTTGGCGTGAAACTCGCACCATCAATCGAAAGTAAATGGGAACCGCTTTAACTTTATTATGCACCCCAACCCCAAGCTCAAGACCTGAGTCCTTCGTCCTCCCCCAACGGTGCACGCACAAGTCTCCATCCCTGGTGCAGCAGCACACATAGCCACCCCACATTTTCCGGGACAATCCTGTGGTCCTGCAACGTAATCTGCATGACTCACCGACTTTTATTTATTACCTGCACGAGGGGAATGAATTATTAAAGGAGCTGCACTTGTAATCGTGACCGTTTTCCCTGCGCTCGTTTTTTTTCCTTCGTGTAATCTCTGTTTACAACGCGTGGGCCCTTCTGGATTCGATGATACAAATCACCTCGTCTTTGTTCTAAAAGGCACAATTGAAATTGCACGCGTCTGCGTCCGTGGTAGAACGGACGTCGCATCCCTCCATTCGCAATGATTAGGATGCGCCGCAAGGACGGCCATAAACATCCATTTGCCATCGCGAATTAAAAAAGATTGGCTTTGCTGGAAGGAGGGCAGGAATGGATGGAATTACGTAAACGGTGTAGGTGGAGTAGTCCCTTCCCTTATTTCACTCTTCCCCCATAAAGTTCACTTGCTCCTTCATCCCCAGGGCAAGATTCACCTTGCTCATCGTGTTAATTGGATGAAAGTATTTAAGGGACGCCTTTGCAATTGAATCTGAGTGAATGTTTGCTCAGAAGATTCCTTATTTGATGAAGTTCTCGAACTCATTTCTCGAGTCGTGCATTGCAAATTCAACATACGCACAAGTTGTTGGCATTCGTTTTGGACACATAGCCATGATATTTGGAAAGTTTTATGTAAGGTTTACCTTAAGGTTAAAACGAAATTACCTTACCTTACCTAAAACGTAAAATGTAGTAAATGTATTCACTAATTAATCAATATAACACTTTAATTTATAAGAAAACTTCTTAAATTATTTCTTTTTTTTTTGAATACACAGAATAACATAATGAATAATAAAAGAAAAATTATTTGTATTAATTACAGAGTTTAAACTATAATTAAATACATTTCCTAATAAAATGAGTATTTAGTCTACGCTTTCTAAACAGTGTGATCATTTACAAAAGTAAATTAATCTATTAATGTTAACTTAATGATTCATATTCCGAAACTGAAGTTAATTCTAGTATCATTTGATATAAAGATATTGATTTTATTGAAGTTTCAATAACTTTTTAATATCGTACTAATAGAGAAACTAAATACAGCAATAGTGCGGATAATGGACTTTAAAACCGCACAATAATAGACTTGATTATATAGAACGATCATTTTCATATATAAAATAATAATTTTGTTACATAATAAATGTATAATTTAAAGTAATCAATATGAATAGTGATTTTGTCATTGGAAACATTAATTACAGTTTTACACAAAATTCTACAATGAATTCTTTTTTTTTTTGGAATGGCTGAACAGTTTCCCCCATTCCAAAAGCACATTGCGAAATTCACCCTCGTGCAATCGCATAAGACTAACAGATGTTCTCTCCCCATTGATATTTCGGCATAACTTAGTGTAAATATACATACCAATATCTACAAAATTGTAGAATATATATTGATGTTAATGAAAATACCAAAGCTTCTTTATATTATGCTGAATTAATTGTTGATGTTATGTCCTTACAAATCATAATTTTAAAAAAACATTAGGTTTTAATTTATGAATTTTTCATAAAAAATCATATTGAAAGTACTGAGGACAGACTAAAATTATCTAAATTTGCATTTGAACATTAAAATTAACGATTTTTTTAAGTTTAAAAGCTACAATTTAGCAAATGTTTCTGACAATACAATAATGATAGGAATAATTGCAGTTTTTTAATGTAAACTAAAATTCCTTTTTTTTGTATACAAAGAATAATTTAAATCAATTATATCTTTTCCATTTTGTCCGATGACCTTTTGCTATCTTTTCGGCAACTTTATAA